CAGTGTTCACAACAAATACTGATATCCCTCTCTTTGGTCTGGGGTTCAGCTGGGCTTGGGGCTCAGGTCTGCTCTTTCTTACTGTTGGGTCTCATTCAAGGGCCAGATGCAGGCAACAGTTGCCACTTGTGTATGTTCTCCTAGTTGATGTCAGGAGCATAAAACATCAAAGGAACACCACACCCCAAACTGGCACAGTCTTTTATTTGCCCTCATCCCTTTGGTTGAAGAAGTTCTTATGACCCAAGTTCAATGCTAGAAGTTTGGCATGTGTAACAGCTGGGTGCTAAATGGTGCTGCTATGGTCTGAGTGTTTGGGCCACCTCAAAATCCGTAAATTGAAATCCTAACTCCCAAGGTATGATATTAGGATCTTTGGGGGTCGGGGGTGACCAGGGTGCTATCCTCATGAATGATATTAATGTTCTTGCAAAAAAGGCTAGGAAGAGGGTGCTCACCCCTTCCACCAAATAAGGTTGCAGTGAGAAGCAAGACTTCTAGGAGAAGTGGGCCCACACCAAACACTAAGTCTCCCGGTCCCTTGGCCTTGGACTTGCAGCCTCCAGAACTGTCAAAAATAAATTTCTGCTTACAAGCCACCCATTTTATGGTATTTTCTTATAGCAGCCTGAACAGTCTAAGACAACCTCCCAGCTAAGTCACTGAAAACTCCAAATTCTTCTTGCTGAGTCACTTCTCCCACCTCTGCTGAGGACCCTGTGTACACAGAAGGAACAGAGTGGGTATTTGGTGAAAAAATAACTTTGCCAAATTGCCCTCTAGAACTGTGGAAAAAGCTTAATGACTAGGGAGTGCTTCTGGCATTGTTTAATGTCCTTGTAATATTATTTTCCAAACTGCCACCTCATTTTAACTTTTTTTTTAATGGTGCTGAAAATGTGTTTTTAGTATGTTCAGTAGCAATTTTTTCAACAAAATTTCTACTCAAGTATTATGCTTATTTTTCTCTTAAATTTTCTTCCCTCATTTGTATGGACTCTTGCTCTGGGTAATGAACATTTTTCCAGTTTACCTTTTAAGTGTCTTAATGATTTTTTTGAAAGACAGACATTTTTAATGCTGATATAGTGAGCCTCATGTTTTTACTGGGAAGAGAACTTTGCACCAAATAGACACACTATAATGTACTTAACTAGTCCCTTATTATGGGCTATTTACATGGCTTACAGGTTTTTCTTTCATTAGTAACAACTGTGATGAAACTCTTTACACATAAGCCCTAAAAATGGAAGTATCATATCCAAGGATATTTTTAAGGTTCTTGATATATTTTGCCAAATTACTATATAAATCCTATTCCCTAGGCCCCACAACTCAGATCCCCAAATCCCAGGGGACATCAGACATACCCCCTCTTTACCCAGGACTTAGACAGCACATCTTCATATTCTAGGCCCTTGAAGAAGGACTGATGAAGCCCTTACTGGTCAGCTTTATACATTCAGAGAAGCAAGCAAGGAAAGGGGGCTGAGAGCAGGTCTGGAGCGGCAAAGGAAAGCTATCAGAACATGTCGGACGCTAATTGTCCTGAGAATACTTTTCCCTGCGGTTGTCTCATGGCACATCCTTGGGATTTAGGTCTTCCCTCCAATGGCACTGGAGGGCCTCTTCCTAACCCCTTGATCTAAAAGAGTCTGACTCCAGCTATTATTCCCTATCACATTACACTTTTTTCCTTAATAGCACTTTTTTTTTTTGAGACAGAGTCTCACTCTATCACCCTGGGTGGAGGGCTGGGGCATCATAGATCACAGCAACCTCAAACTCT